TTTATGCTAAGTTCCTTATGATCAGTCATCCAGTGAGCCAAACGTACCCTTATAGTTTAATGAAAGGACCGTTACTTGACTGGACATTCCTTTTCCATGTCAAAAGTAGAAACCCTGTTGAACTAGAGAAAAATCTATTTCTTAAACTTGTTTCCATGTCAACTCTCCTCGAATATTTTCAAAGGTGAAAGAAATATACGACTTTCTTAAGACTTTTTCCTCTTCAGAGATATAATTTCTAGTTTTTACCTGCAGCTCTTTAATTATTACGCGTTAACATTTGCCTGGTAAACCATCATAATAATCATCACATGAAATCTATTGTTGAGGTTTGAGGATTTTTGTAGATGTTGCATATCTGCTTGTTCATGTGTTGTTTCTCAGGCTATTATCTATCTTTCCTCATTGCTCCCATTTGAAATGTAAATATTAGGGTATTCCTGAGCCAGTGGAAGTTCCACCTACAGGTGGAAGTGCACCTATCAGCCAGGTTCCTAATTTGTCTGCTCAGCCTCAGCAAGCTTCACAACCAGGAATTGTTCCTTCAACTGGACCAAATGCAAATCCTCTAGATCTTTTTCCACAGGTTTATGATTTGTCATTGTTGTTGTCAATTCATTTCATTATGAATTTTTGGGTGACATGCATGAAAAATCTTTTGTAATAGGGTATTCCAAGCATTGGTTCAAATGCTGGAGGTGCGAACAACCTAGATTTTCTACGCAACAGTCCACAAGTACAGATCCAACTATGTCTCTAATAGTAAATTGAGAATCTTTTTGTTGTGACTGGAGTTGTAAAATATTTCGTTCTGTATTTGTTGCTTCAGTTCCAAGCCCTTCGAGCAATGGTGCAAGCCAACCCACAAATCTTGCAGGTTTGTTGCCTTCTATCTTTGCATCTATTCTCTCTGAACTCATTAGTTGTAAGTTTGTTGCAAAGTCCCATATCATTCTTGCTTTGGTGACAGCCCATGCTTCAGGAGCTAGGAAAGCAGAACCCTCACTTAGTGAGACTGATTCAAGAGCACCAGGCTGATTTCCTTCGCCTGATCAATGAGCCTGTTGAAGGCGGAGAAGGGTACCCTTTAGTTTGTTCTTTTATTTAGACATCTGGTGTATATTAGCCCAGTGAAAAGTTGTTATATTAATTTTCTGTTTTGATCTTGATGTGGTATCAGCAACATACTGGGGCAGCTTGCTGGAGCAGTTCCGCAGGCATTAACAGTGACGCCTGAGGAACGTGAAGCCATAGATCGTGTAAGTGCAAACATTCCTTCCACCTGATTTAATTTTGTGAAGATTTTATTTGGAATTGGCATTTCTACTAAGGCGTTTTATATGGTGAGGAGTAAGCCGTGATATTTAAACCATTTTTTTATTCAAATATTATAGAAAACACCATATTAAATTCGTACTGAACCATAAACCATCTAAAAGAGATCCAT